CACCGCTTTTCGATGAAATTCTTTCATTCATTCATTCATTCGTCCCGCAGCGCCTGATAGGTTCTGAGGATTGCGACCCTGTGGTAGAGGTTAGGAGTGTGAATCTGGGTCCGGCGGCGGGATTTGAATTCCCCACGCCGTGCTGTGTCCTTAGGCGCTTTCGGCTCTTTCTTTCTTGGTTTCTCTTGGTTTCCTCGTCGTTACAGCAGAGATGATGCTGAAGGCTGCCTCCTAAACTTGTTATAAAAGTTAAATGAGGTCACAGATGCAAAGTGCCTAGAACAGCCACTGGCACAGAGTACGTTCTAAGTGCTTGTTAACGTTATTAGTCGTATCCCCGTCGTCATCATCACCCAGAGCTCAGAGACGCGTGTGGGATACCTGCAGATACACAAGCAATTCGGGTGCACCGCTGTGGTGGAGGAAGAGCGCTCCTTGCTTTGGGAGCACAGAGTGGAGGCGCTTCAGTCAAGGTGAATCCTGGGAGACTTCTGTCTCCTAGAAAGCTGACACGTAAAGGAAGCTTAGGGGAGTGTCGCAGGAAAAGGGTAGCCTTTTCGGTTGAAGGCGCAGTTGGTGAGAAAACTCTTCTCTGCAGAGAGAGAAAAGTGAGAGAGAAGGCTAAAGTGGCAGGCTGTGGTCTGGTCTTAGGGGACCTTGTAAACCTAGTTAAGGGCTTTAAATTTTAGGTTAATGAGAGGCCACTCAAGAATCAGATTTGTGGATTAGAAAGATCACTCTGGCTATGTGAAGAATGTGTCCAAGGCAGTGCGCCTGGAGGAATAATCCAGGTGAGAAGGACAGGTGACTTTGGGTGAGGTTGGAGACAGAGGGTAGGGAGAGATGATTTTGGAGGCAGAATTGACAAAGCTTGGTGATTACTTCAGTGAGGGAGTTAGGGGCAGAGAGGAGTTAGGACTACCCCAGTTTTTGACCGATGGATGTTGACACACTGACCCGTTTATTCGTCTTTGTCCCAGCTCCAGCACGTTGTCTGGTATGTGGTGGGCCAATAATGATCCAATGTCACATTTATTGAAGACTGGCATGGTGACTCATTCCTGTAATCGCAGTGCTTTGGGAAGCCAAGGTGGGAGGATCACTTGAGGCTAGGAGTTTGAGGCCAGCCTGGGCAACACAGTGAGCTGGGTATAGCGGCATGCACCTGTAGTCCCAGCTACTTGGGAGGCTGGAAAAATTTTTTTTTTACTGAGCACTTACTTTGTGCCAGGCTCTGTGTTAAGTGCTCTGGACTTGCCTGCTTGATGCCTGATAAAGCGGCAGCTCTTAGGGAGCAGATCCCTTCAGGGTCTCATAAGATTTTCTCCACTTGGGTGTCTTTGATTCAGGTAATGAACTGGACGAAGGGAGCCAAGCTGGAGTTCACACAGACAAACTTGCAGAACAGAGTAGCCTGGGCTATTTGGAAATCTGAGGTATGTCTGTAATACTCAAGGTTGAAACAGATCAGATCAGTTTGTCTTTTTTCTCTAGGCTCAACATGATTCAAATCACCCTTTCAAGATAGCTTTAAAAATTAAATCGTGAGCAGGGCTCGGTGGCTCAGCCTGTAATCCCACGCCTTTGGGAGGCTGAGGTGAGTGGATTGCCTGAGCCCATGGGTTCGAGACCTGCCTGGGCAACGAGACCTCATCTCTACAATAAATCAAAAAATCAGCCGGGCGTGGTAGCGCATGCCTGTAATTCTGGCTACTCGGAAGGCTGAGGCAGAAGGATCGCCGGAGCCCAGCAGGTCAAGGCTGCGGTGGCTGGGAGCAGCCACCGTACTCCAGTCTGGGTGACAGAGTGAGACTCCAAATCAAAAAATAAATAAATAAATATATAAATATATATATATATATATATATATATATATATATATATATATATCGTGTACACTCTTTGCAGAGAGAGTTGTATTTCTTTGTCTGAAAGAAATTTTTTCTGGTTCATTTGTGTCTTTTCTGTGGTTTTATCTTGGATCTCTAGATCCTTCAAGCAGAGTTACCTGTTTCAATTTCAAAACTGTCAGATGTATATAGCTCTTGTGCAGAAAGACTTTGAACCAGATTAGAATGATTACTGTAAATGAAACTTTACTGTATCAATTGTCATTTTCTTCCTCTTCTTGAGGAATCTGGAGTTTTAATTTTTAATGCAAAATTTGAATACAGTAGAGAACTTTTTATGTATGCAATCAATATGCAAATAATTTTCAGATTTATTTGGTTTCTAAAATAATGGTGTCATATCAATAAAAATACCTGACTTTTTAGTAGCACATATCAGAACCCAAAATACCAAAACCATGAGGGTAGTTGGTAATGACTGTAATAATTAGCAATATTGGGAAAATCAGGTAGAGGTCATTGTCAAAGAACCTATTGAAATTGAAAAACAAGAGATTATTGAAAAAGGTGACACTGTGGAAACTGTTTCTCTCAGCTCTTATTATGCTGATTTTCTATTCATTTACATGAA